AGGAAGGAAGGAAGGAAGGAAGGAAGGAAGGAAGGAAGGAAGGAAGGAAGGAAGGAAGGAAGGAAGGAAGATTTCTGATGCTCCCTGCCAGCTTCTCACAAGCAAAGTCAATGGGGAAGCTGGCAGCAAGTCGTAAGTTGCTCACACTCCCACGGCTTTTTTGCCCTTGGTCATTCTGTTTCTCTGTTTAGGGTTGTCTAGTGTGTGTGTGTGTGTGTGTGTGTATCAGTTGACTCAAATAATAAATTATAGGAAACCTATTCTTCCATTGTAGCATCTTTGGAGTCATAACATCCAATATTGTTCCACAGGACATGAATTACAGTTCTGTGTATGCAGTTCAACACAATTGGTTGATTCCCCATAAAACAGGTTTGACTGGGGAAACATCACAAGTCTTGAGTCCAATATTCTATCTTCCAAAACACTCTATAATACTTATTTAATGAAGAAAAATGCAATGTACAGACAGAGTATTTCAATAAATTATAATATGCTACTGACAATTCAAAGTAGAGGTTTATATTTATACAGAACAGTGATCTTTTCCTCATCCACTGATGGTGCAGCCTATTAACGGATGGCGTCCAACAGTAATTACATGGATTCCTCATTCAGACTGTAGGGATGAAAAAGAATGAATGTGTTAGATTGCACAGACAGGTATCCATAAATCCAACCCCTTTCATATTATAATTCAAAGGTAAAACCCCCATTGACCCAAGCCCAACAAACAGCTGTGAGATGTACATATACAGTACATATAGGGCTGAATTCCCATTTTGTGAAGTAGGATTTACAATGCTACCAATGTTATTGAATTCCTGCTGATTGTTGATATGGACTTCTGATGCTCTAGCTAACTTAACAGAAAGCACATTCTCGCATCCAGTCCTAAACTCTGGATTAGCCTAGATCTTTGCTTGTCCCAAGGACAATTTCTTAACATGCAATAATTAAGTTAGTTAACTATTAGTTAGGAGATGGAGAGATTAATCAAAGTCCCTAGTGGGGTATCCTTTCAAGCCAACTGGCACTGGGACTACTAATCCCAGCATCCCCATTGGAAAATTGTATTATTTATCATTTATCATTCTCCATCTTCCTCTTGGTCAGAGTGCATGGATTCCCAAGTACAAGAGGGCAAAAAAGGGGGCTTATAGGCCCCTTTTTCCTTACTCACTCCCTGTATATCCTATGCTATATCCTTGGGTGGTATTTGCTGACGCAACTGCTCCATTTTCTGCTCATGCTGGCGCTGTCGTTCATTCTCTTCATGCTCATATCTCAGCCTTGTCAGTTCAAACTCCATCCGCCTCTTCTCCAGCTCCGTCTCAATGGCTAAGTCCAGTCTGCTGCTTGACCACTCTGACTCTGCCCCACTCACCACAATACGTGGCACCTGTAGGCCCAGGTGTTCGGTCACCCCATCATTCCGTTGCTCTGGGGGCACTTCAGCTTTTTTTGCCTCTGAGGGGGTCTCCAATTTCTGCTCATGTTTTGGGCTCTCTTGATGCCCATTCTGCTCACTGGAGAGCTTCCTTTCTTTCATCTCTGGCATGTACACTTCCACAGCCAGCTGCAGCTCTATCCTCATCTTACCTATCTCAGCAAAGGCCACAGAAGCTGTTTCAGCTGTGGCTTCTGCCATGCCACACCGAGATACCTTCTGGCTCACTATGTGGAGGTTTCCTGGCCGCTGGCGCATTTGCTCCATCTTCTCTTCATGCTGCCTCTGTTTCTCCTTCTCTTCATACATTTTTCGCTCATGCTGTCGCTGCCTCTCATTCTCCTCAGAGATGTGCTTCAGTTTGGCCAGTTCAAATTCCATGCGCATCTTTTCCAGTTCAATTTCTGTAATGGGGTCCAGCTTACCCCCAAGCTGGTCCTCTTCCCCATGAGCACCAGTTCTGGAGGGAGATCCCTGGCGTATTTGCTCCATCTTTTCCTCATGCAACCGTTGTTTATCATTCTCCTCATGCTGCTGCTTCAGTACAGTCAGCTCAAAGTCCAACCGCATCTTCTCAATCTCACTGTCAACTCCATGGGTCTGTGTCTGCCTGGCTTTTCGCTGTTCTTGCTCCTTAGCATCGTCACACTTATCATCTTTGTGGGCATTTTTCTCCTCTTTGGCCTCTAATGGGAAAGGACTATTTATGATTTCTATCTGCTGCAGGGTCTCTAAGAGCATCCGTTGATCTCCATTAGCCAGAGTATCAGTCATAATAGAGAGGTTGGCAGGACACACTGGCATATCTTCACCAGCCTCCTAAAACACAATAAAGGGAGGGGGCATCATGCATATATTTCTGAGATGGCCTAATTAACACCATATCTTGGGAGTGGTCTTTCTCTCTATATCTAAGGTGGAGAGCCTGTGGTCCTCCAGGTGTTTCTATTAATCTCAGACAGCAGTGGCAATGTTAAGACACATTGGAAGATGTAGTGAGCGATATATGGAAGGAAAAGTTTCCCCTCCCTTGCAATAAACGTTCAAATGGTTTTACATCCCAGGCCAAACTGGTTCTGTTTTGAACAAATTAAAATATCCAGTTCTCATCAGGGCCAGTTGTAGAAACTCATCATAGAAAGTGTGGAGAAACAGTGAAAAAAACAAATGTCTGCAGACAAGCTATATAGACCGCTCTGTCCTCCACAGTACATTTTCAGTGCAAATGGAGAAAAGATATAAAAGAAGATGGTAGGGAAGAGGAATGGCATCAACAAAGATCAATTGAGTAAAAGGACAAGAAAGGTAAGAGAAGCCCCTAGACTTGGACAAAATGAAATTGTAACTTCAATAAAAGGAGTGTCCATGGAAAAAGATTGTGTAGTTCCCTTCCACCAGCACTGTTTTCAGTACCCAAACTCTCAGAAACCCTTTCAAACTGGCTCACAATTGTCCTCACTGCAACCAACCTCTAATCACTAAGAACCTCACATGAGCCAACAAGTGAGCCTTCCAGCTGGCCAATAAGCACATGGCCAGTGTTTCACTATACCCCACTTCTCAATCTGGATTCCTTTTTTTATGTTTGGTAAAACTTCCTGTGGCCACTGAAATGAGGGAAAGCAACCATGGTATCATCACTCTGTTCACAGTTTAAAAGAATGGTGAATGATCACATCTTGGCCTCAGGAAACCATGGCTATGAGGGGAGGGAGATGGGTAGTGGGAACTCCTGCCTTGGGAGAATATCCCACCCCAAACCTTCATGGAGCTCCAGAGGTGCACAGTTAATCCTGGAATGGGGCAAACATTGCATGTGGAGGTTAAGTGCACTATGGAAATGAAGAAACACATTGAAGAGCATTAAATGTTAGGGCCAGTTTACATGGCATCAGAATTTCCCATGCTCTTGTAGAAAGATCTGTATAAAGAAGATGGTTCTGGCAAATGATATGGTTTCTTCCCAGACCAGAGTCCTTCCCTACTATCAGCCTGAATTCAGGGAGGGAAATGTAGGCCAGGGAGTCCCAAACCTTGGTGTCTATGAACACATTTGGAATGTTGAGAGCATTACATAGGACTATTATATCTGGACTATAAAGATCTGAACCTCTGATAGACAGCGGCAGAGAGATGAGAATACCCTAAATCTTCATAGGAATTTTTTTGTAGGCCAGCTATGGTAGCCTTAATCTTATGAACATTTTTACTAAATGTTTGCTAAGATGGGTGTGGCCAAACACCAAATGCCTATATCATAGAAATCAAACAAAGGCTGGGCTGCAACCAGCTCATTTTGCTTTCTAAGTATATTTCTGGAGTCTTTGCATTTCCAGAGGCATTATGAGGAACATAACATGTTAATTTCCCATTCACTTTTCAGCCTGAGATTATCTTAAACAATAAAATTAAGCTGGGCAGGGTCATAGGATCATTAGGAATTGCTACTCTTTCTCAGCCCAGTCCCATTTTTGTAATATGGATAGGATTATGCTAGCCTTAACTCAGAGAAGGCAGGGATGATATGGCTTTCTAGATATTGTTGGACTGCAGCTCCTCTCTCACCGGTGCTTAAGTCTGCTAGACCTGATGGGCATTAATGGATAACTGCTGGAGGGTCATATGTCTACTCATAGTTTAAATTCTCTTGAGAGAATTGTCTAAAGGTGTTTGAGTACTTAGGAAAAGTATTAGGGGTATTTACTAGGAGGATCTAGAACTGCTAGCAGATTACCCACTCAACATGAGCAAACAGAATGATCCACTTGTTAAAAAGGCCAATACAACCTTGGGCTGTATTATCATAAGCAACCATATTATCGGAGGGAACCCTTTCACTACAAGTTGGTTAAGCAGCACATAGAGTAACAGGTCTGGTTCTGGGCACCACACTTAAAAAAAACAAGACATGGACAAACTGGATGGGGCTCAGGGGAGAACTACCAGGTTGATAAGGGACCTGGAAATCCAGCTTTAGGGGGAATGATTAAAGAAGCTGGACAGGTTTCCCTTGCAAACAAGAACAGTAAAATATATATGTTGTGGTTTCTGGTAGCTATTAATGGATTTCCTTTTTTTTTTTTACCAGGACTGAATAATGAGGCTTTAAAGATTTGTTTATAGATAACAGATAAGATATGGGCGTTACTTTTTAAAGAAAGTGATGTTGGAACACAAAATGGATTTATTTGATTAAGGTGAAAATATATATGTTATTATTTCTGGTAGCTCTTAATGGTCTTTTGCTGATTAGGACTGAATGACAAGTTTTTACAATTTGTTTATTGAAAATATACATGTGGTTTCTGGTAGTTAGTAATGGATTTTTTTTTTAACTAGGACTGAATGTTGAGGCTTTAAAATTTGTTTATAGACAACAGATAAGATATAGGGAGAAATTTCTTTTGCTTATTTTTCAGAGAGAGTGATAAGTTGGAATACAAAATGAATGTAATTAAGGTGAAAATATATATGTTATTATTTCTGGTAGCTGTTAAAGGACTTTTGATGATTAGGATTGAATGACAAGTTTTTACAATATGTTTATTGATAAGAGATGAGATATGGGGAGAAGAGATTTTTTAAAATTAAAATATTAGAAAAGGTGTTAAATTACTGAAGTTGTTTGTACTTGTCTAGAGGGAGGGGGGAGTCATTTCTTTATTTTTTTCCCTTTTTTATTATTCTCTTTTTTCTTTTTTCTCTGCACCTTTTATTTTTTTCTTTACTTTTTATATTCTTCTTAGTTTGTATTAGCCTTTTACCTTTGCATTTGTAAGTTTTAATAAAAATTATTACAAAAAATTAAAAGAAAGAGAAACACTGCTCTAGATTACAACTTCATTAATCGTTAGCAACCTCACAGGCCCATAGCTAGCATGCGGGGGGAGGGTGGGCACACAGATAAAAGGAGGGAAGCTTATTCAAAAAAATTCATCTGTAAAAATTTTGGGGGGGCAAAAGAGAATTTGGGGGACAAGCCTCATCTATCCTCCCTTGAATATGCCCATCAATATGGTAATTGGTAATGTTTGGTACAGGATTTTAAAAGTCTGTTATTGTTAAGATCCCTTATGTCTAAATCAGTTTCTTTATAATCTTTGAGAGAGCTAAATTTCTTTCAGCTTCAATCCTAGACTGGGACTGCTAACACACCTCTAGCGTCAAAGCTTTCGTTATGCCTTCCATAAAGCTATCTGAACTCCATAATTTCCCTCAGTACCCATCGAACGAATCTTGATCACTTTTAAACTTTCAATTACCATTCTGCCTTGTATGGTTTTCCATTCTATTTTTGTATCCCTACCTTAAATTTCCACTCTCTTTTGGAATGCCCTATTTATCTCCAGGAGGATATCAAGAGCAGATCTGGCAGAGACTCCCGCCTTGCACAATTTTTCAAGGGATGTTATCTAATTGGGGAATCTGGGTCTGAATATAGAGCGCTACTGGGGTCAGATAGACTCTGGGCACAGCCACATGGCTGTGTTAAAGTACAATCTATCACTCCTTGCAGAAAAACATGCCAGCATATAATTTGCTGCCTCTGAGCCCTTTTCTGCCTCAAGACACTGGACTAGAAGCCAGGAAACTGTGAGTTGTAATCCTGCCTTAGGCACAGGAGCCATCTGGGTGAATTTAGGCCAGTCCCTCTGTCTAAACCCTAGGAAGGAGGTAATGGCAAACCTCTTCTGAAAATGTTGCCAAGAAAACTTCAGGGTCTTGGTAGTCACCAGGAATCAAGAATGATTCAAAGGTACACAGATCCTTACAGTTTTACTGTACTTATAGTTTTAATGCAGGACAAGTTATGGAAGGTAATTGGTGGATTTTCCTGGTTTCATTTCCTCTTCCACCAAGGCAGGATAAAGCACCACCAATTGCTTTCTTTAATATATGATGAGGCATAACTGGGAGGTTATAGGCAGATGCTTTTTATTGCAGACATTAGGCATGCTTGGTGCCTATAACCTTTCAGCTGGGCTATTTCTGAACATGGGTCTAGTACTGTACTGAAAGCACTTTATGTATGTATGTATGTATGTATGTACTCAATTTATATAGCTGCCCATTTTGCAGTTGGGACTCTGGGCAGCAAAAGAAGAATTAAAACCAACATACATAAAAACGAATACACACACACATGTAACACAATCATAGCATAATGGCACCCAAGGACAATCTGACTCAAGCCACCCAAGCACAATCCTATCAAGAAAAAAAGCCACATTGACAAGCTCACCCATGCCTGAGGGAACTTCAAAAATGTACAAAATGCCAGTAGGGTCAGGGCCAAACAAATCTTGGGGGATATGATGTTCCAAAGGGCAGGCACTGCAACAGAGAAGGCATTCTTTGTGGGACCTGCCAGATGGCACTGCTTAATAGACAGGACCTGGAGTATGCTTACCCTGCCAGATCTAGTAAGCTAGGAAGAAACATTTGGAGAAAGGTGGTCCTGCAAATAACCTGGCCCTGAGCAAGGCTGTATATGTGGTAACTGGCACCTTGAATTACACCTGGAAGTCTATTGGGGGCCAGTTCAGCTCACAGAGCAGTGGTGTAACATTGATGTACTGAGGTGTAGCCATAATTGGCTGTAGCACCACATTCTGGAGCAGCTGCATCTTCCAGTTGGTCTTGAAGGGCAGCCTTTGCAGTAATCCTTTTGGGAGGTGACTGAAGAATGACTGTAACATCTCCCAGGCCAGGAAAAGATGCAATTGCACACAAGATGAATCTGTAAAAAGGCCCTCCTGCATGGCAGCCATTTG